GAATGTTGACTTTGACAATTAGGTTGACTTGGACCAGGGGTAGGAGAGTCATTTTACCCTCAGTGTTATTATCAGTATTGTAGATTGAAACTACTCGAGTTACTACCGTCTCATTATTTTGAACTTCAAGTTAAATTCAATATTTATCTAACGGTCAACCGACGTAACGCCGACACATATGAGTTATTCAACTACGCTAACGGAACGTCATTCCTATCAGATTGTAGATTGAAACTACTCGAGTTACTACCGTCTCATTATTTTGAACTTCAAGTTAAATTCAATATTTAACTAAAATCACTAAACTTTAAAAATCTTAATAATTTAAGATCCGCGTTGGTGATCATCAGTAGCGCGACAGATTTTATTGGACGAAGAATTATTGTCATGGATTTTTGTTGATTGTGTATCCTATGTGTGTTTGTGGGAGAAATATATCAAAAGGGGGTGAAAGAGAGAGTTTTATGTATGTGTAATTTCTTTCATAATGATCAAATCATAGAATTGAAACTCACTCTATAACCATTAATCCATTTTTATTTATATTATGCCTGTGTGGCTTGTGGAGGAGTGATGTATACTGTTGGTTATAGGCAAATTGTTATATTAAAGACTTTTATTCGAAGAAGTATAAGTCTAGATTGAGTCCAATTCTTCCAATTTGGGGCGGAAAGTGTCGAGTCTATAGGGTGTTATCTACATCTCCTTGCGACATAGCCCTTCGTAAAGGGACAATATCAAAATAATAAAAATTGTCATGAGAATGATTAATCCTTATCGTTAAAACGTTTTGAATAATAAAATATGCGTTATAATTTACCGGTCTTTGGAAAAAGTATTTTGAATTAAAAAAAAAATTCAGAGTCAAAAGAAAACCTATAAAGCTCGTCAACATTATTGTTGACATATTTTCAGAATGTATGTATCTCTAGGTGTTCAATGTGTCCGGAAGAACTCTCATCCCGTGTGAGGATGAAGGATTTGACATTGAAAATAAATTGTCACCACTATAGTAACCTTTTGTCTCTTTTATGTTGCAAGAAATTGAAATCAACGTATAACACTTATGGATTATTAAACGGTGTATTTTGTCATATTCAGACTTAGGAAGAATGTAATATCGTATAAATTCTGTTATTATTTCATTATATGTTGTTGACTATGATCCAAATGTTTAAGTCGCAACCTCGACGTTTCCGCCGTTGGTCGGGGTGTGACAAAGTGTCATATTTCGAAGTTCATTCTCTAGCTCAATGGAACGAACATCCTTATTATTCTGGAAAAGGTCTTCAAGAGCAAACCAAATCATGGTGGTTGTGGAACCTGGTTTAAGAATCATAGTGAGGATGGATTGAGATAGAGTACCATACAACCACATTTTCATCAAATTATCAGGACTTTCCCACTAAGTGTCTTTATCAGATGTCGGTTTTGAGTTGCGATCAAGATGACCGACAACCCCATAGGCTTTACCGTGAGTCTCGAAAATTTCTCGCCATGAGTCGTAATTTAGTTGACTGAGATCGAGAATGAGTGGTATGAACATTTTGATCTTAGTCACGCTATGAGGAGGCTGGATTAGGGTTAGGAGCGTTACAACTTTGATACAATATTAACGTAGATAACTTTCCATAAAATGCCATCTTTCATTCAAGAAACAATATTTACAAAGTACAATGATACATGGACTATATCAGGCTAGGCTATGCAAATATATACAATGATACAAATACATATACTAATATACAAGACCCAAATGTTCACTTGTTTCAACATGCATTACTGATAAAGGATTCAACCGATGCATTTTCATGATCATATGTTGGAAATGAACAACATGTTGACCTAACATCACTAAACCAAAAAAAAAACTCAAAAATTTCATAAATACAAACAAAATTTAAATAAAAAAATGAAATTTTTCATGGCATTGCTATTTATTCACCAGTCAAAACAACACAACCTACAACATTAACCTCAAAAATATTATGGCCAGTTAAACCAAGCAAGAAAGAACCTCTCCTTACAAATATAGGGGTAAATCTATATAATTCCCTCAGTTCTCCTATATTAAAGAACATTTTTATTCTACGAGAATTCAACTAAAATACAAAAATCACACTTTTATATTTATTTAAAAAAGACATGAAAAACCTAATGTGTCCACCACGTATACGCTTGTTTCAGATGTAAGTGAATCACCACGTGACCTAAGTGACACATGTACCCTTTTTTTCTGGAAGACATGTATACATAATATTTATAAAACATAAAAATTTAAAGTTATAAAGTTATAATAAATATAGATAAAATTGAGATGGAATCATGGAAGCATACAAGTGCAATCTTCTGCCCAAGATCTGGATGCCTAGGAACAATGATATCAAGAATATTGATGTGATTTTGCATTAAGGCTCCATTAACTGATACCATTACTATAAAAGGATTGATCAAAAATCAAAATGCATTACCACTTCTATAAGAGAATGTTAAAACATTCAATAATTAATTGATCATCGCATCACCTTCTTTTTCACCCTTATGTATTGATGAAGTCATCCAGACATATCTATTAGTAATTATTTCCTGTAGATCTTCTATATTCCTCATCTATCATAATCGGAATCATAGAATCGAGTATATAGAGTTTGACTTTGTGTAATCAACATGGCGTAAATCGAAATTGCATTTGAATCTTTGGCTAGAAGCCACAGCTGTAACGTTCAAAAAATCCATAGAAAAGTTTCCATTTTAAAATTGTAAACATACAACAAGTTGTTCCAAAACTGATCAAAATGAATATATTATTAAAACATCATAGTAAAGATCATAAGTTGCCAATACGGAAAACTATGGGATGTTGTACGGACATGTCGGACGCTTCCTTTTTGAACTGGAAGTACCTGAAACCATAAACATAAAATGTAAGCACAAAGCTTAGTGATTTTCCTCAAAATACCATATACCATACATAGCATTGGGCCTTGCCCGCACATTGTGCCCATTTCATAATAATAGGCCTATCCCTTACTAATCAGTAGGCCCATCCCAACACACTACTAGAAAAACAGCCTTTTACGACGCTCATTGCGCGTCGTAAAACGCTCAGACGACGCGCAAATGCGCGTCAAGGAAGGCCATGTCATAAAGATAGACGACGCGCTTTTGCGCGTCATCTATAGACGACGCGCATTTACGACGCGCGTTTATGACACACATTTGCGTGTCGTAACCTTATGACGCACGTGTTTATGACACGCAATGCGTATCAAGGAAGCCCCTGTCAAGAAAGGCCATGTCATAAATGAAGATGACACACATTTTTGCGTATCATAATTTTAAATGTTAAAAAAAAAATCTTATTTATAGATTTACTAATTTTCAAATTAAATTTGCATTTAATGTCTCATAACAGAAAATAAAATACCATATACAAAAAATAAAATCCATTGCATAAAATTATTGTCATATAAATAATCATTCAAATAGTAGACAAATATTTGTACATTATTATTAAGAGGTTTTCCCTAACTATATAATCTAGGACTACATTGCTATTTCCTTAGTTAATTTGTGTACATTGTTGTAAGCAAGTGTGTATTGAAGCACCTTCCATGTAGTAGTACCCCTTTGACCAATGCTAGTATCAGAACATAAAGCACTTTTCTGCATAAAAAACAACAATCAGTCAACAAAGAGTCAACATTCTTTAAAATACTATATGAACCTCCTCAAGTGATGCACATGGAACAAGAATACCTTGAATTACAATTTACAATTTACAACAAAAACAAGAACTGATTGAGTGAACCTAGAAGAATAAAATGCTAGGTCAACTTAGCTAAGTATTGAATCCATATGTAATGACTACAATCACAAATGCAAGTGATTAATGTCATTAATGGAATAATTTGTTGCCCTTGTCTTACCTTTACTAGCACCATTTCAGCTCCAAAATCAACAAATTCAAATATCCATGATTTGGACCTAAGAACATGGGAATACAAAGATACAAATAATATTTAATAACATTATCCCAAATATAAACACTAAGATATGGTGATAGAAGAGAGCGAAAAATGTTATCATATCTCACGAAGGATGTCTTTCTTCCAACATGTCTTTGTTGTTCAACTTGTAACTTATTCGTATGCGCATAATGATTGCTTTCTGCCATAACAATCAACATTCATCATGTAAACGATATTTTAAAAAAAGCACACAAACATTTCATTCCATGATGATTTATTTATAGTTACCTTGCCATGTTGAGTGTTGGTAACTCGTAATTTTTGTGTTATTGAGCCATTACCATTTGCAGGAAGAGAGTTACTGCTAGCAGGTTCCAAATGCAACTGAAGAATTTAAAAAAATAACTTTTTTTTACCAAAATTTATTATACAATAATAAATAAATAAACATACTAGGTGGTGGAGGGGTAGGACCAAATATGTCTAATAAATCCATCATAGGTGAAGGTGATGAAAGGCTGCCTAATGGAGGAACTGAAGTTTTCATATTATTAGTATTATCTTGATTTATTGATAATATTTCATCATGTGGTGTACATGAACCATTTTGATGAGTAGCTGAATAAACATACCTTTGGGTTTCGGGTTTCAATTCAAATAAAAAAGACTTCACCAACCCGTGACCCAACAATTGTGAGATTAAGTCTTTGACAAATCTCTATGTATATTACACTAAGTCAAATTAAGTCATACATCAGAAACTAAGACAACAATTGTAATTTTGAGTAACTTTTACATGTTTTTATGTGAACAAGGGTGCATTCCATTAAATTAGTGGTGTTTCATATGAACCTTGATAAAGCTTCATACAATGATCATAAAAGGTAATGATTTGGTTGTATTAATTATCTAGTTGAGCGAACTGTACAATGTTAAGGGGCACTACTTTTCAAGTAATGCAGAGGATAGTCAACACGCTGGTGGCATTATAGATGTACCTTTAGCTCAAACTGGTGAAGGTATTGCAGAATGTGGACTCCTCAAATGGTTTGTCCAAGATTCTGCATGCTCCTGGTGACATTATAAAGGTAAAACACCGGTAGTAGTATTAACAATTTCCATATATATGGTAAAGTTATTTTGATTTGACTTTGATTTCAGGTTGGAGAAACTCTATTACAGTTGGTGGTTGATGATTTATCCACCCCTGCTGTTAGAAGTCTTGCAAAGCAACATGGTATTGATTTAGCTGATGTCACTGGAAGTGGTAAACATGGAAGAATATTGAAAGAAGATGTTCTAAAATATGGTGTAGAAAAAGGAATTATTGATGACAAACCTGCTTTTAATCCTACTTCTATCGAACCCATGTCTGGACCTGAAGAACAACTTCAAGAGACGGCTGAATCACTTTATCATGATAAGATATTCTCTCAAAGGTATTATTATTATTATATAAACAATAAAAAATTTCATGAATTTGATTGAAGTAAACATGTTATTAAAGTTGTCAAGTTCTTTGTTGTTAGGGCTTATCAGCGTGCAATGGCTAGGTCAATGACTACAGCTGCTAGTGTTCCTCATTTTCATTATGTGGAAGAAATAAACTGTGATGGGCTTATGAAACTTAAATCAGCTTTCCAGAAAGAGAATACTGATCTAGATATTAAATTCACATTCCTTCCCATGTTAATAAAGTCATTATCCTATGTTCATTTATGTTGTAACCTCATATTTTAAAAACTCATAAATAATCACATGATATAACCTTTCAGATATAACCTTTTAGGCATAAATAAATAAGCACCTTTATAAACAAAGCTGATGCTGGTAACCGAACCCAGCCTTTGGAGGAATTATAGCAGGTGAGGCCGGCCCGTAAATGTGAAACTATTCATAAAATGAAGAATAAAAATGTGAAACTTACTACAAGCATCATGAGTACAAATCCAGTCAAGGCCATTACAACTCCTGTAAATCAGTTCAAGATTACCAATTAACAATTAATATTAAGTGTTGTTTGTATAAAAAAAAAGTATATAAATTACATTTTGGTTTGTGTATAGCTGATTTTTTTCAATTCTAGTCCCAACATGTTTTCTTTTGTATTTTTGGTCCTTATTTTTAGGTTTTTAGTTTATGTTCCAACTAAAATGACTAAAATTTTGGGACCAAAAGTAGTCATTTACTTGGTATAGGGACCAAAAAATGTTACAAGAAACCTCAAGTAAGACACAAAATTGCATAAAAAAATAACAGCTTTAATTAAGGACGAAAAATGTGATTTAGTTTTAATGAAAAACAGTCCGTTACCAAAATATGGAACTGTTAAAACTACAAGTAGTGTGAAGAACACCAAAATAGAATCACAGTTGCCAATGTTACAACTCCAAAAGTTGCTCAAAAAAACCTCTGGAATTAGTCCCTTTATCTCAGTCAGGGGTAAAAAAGTAAAATTACTGAAGGATATAGAAATTAGAACCTGAAATATAGGAGAGTAACTGAGGTTTCTCAGCCAAACTATTGGAAGGATAACAAGGGTGGATATAATGGCACATAAGTAATGAGAATCAAGATGTATACCACACAAGAAGTCTGTAGTATTAATTAACACACAATTAAAATTGTTAACTAGATACAATCATGCAATGGAAATATGAAATTAATATTCACATATGAAATTAATAGTCACCACATGCTTGTTCTAGTGATAATTGGTCAGAACTCATACCAGAGAACCCAAGGGTGGCATTTACCCTTTGTTTTTACTTGTTTAAACCAAACCTTTAAGTGCTCTACTTAAATGCAAATGTGTTCTTTTTCTTTCTAAAACAGTTTGGTTTACACATTTAAAACAAGAAAACAAAGTATAAGAGGGAGGAAGGAGTCAAATGTACTCTTATTGCTACAGACGGATTTGGTCTACCCCTTCCTTGTTCTCCCTAGGCCTGGTCTGAATGCCCCTTGAGTCTGGCTTTGTTGCTCACATATTTTTCTATTAATTGTTGCTAAGAATGACATACATGATAGAAGACTGAGATATCTATTCTTCAAGTGAAAATTTTATAGAGTCATGGATATTTAAAAATAAACACTATGAATTTTTCATATAAATCGCGATATCCTTATGTGTTCTTCTTCTAGATTTGATAATTTACACTCAAAATTAATCACGGTTGCATAGAGATTTGATATACTTTGAAACATAAATGGTCAATGCTCGAAATGAATGAAGAGAACCTGTAAGTTTGAGGCTAGGGATCAATGGAACAGCTTTGAGATTGAGAAGCGGTGATGATGCCGGAATTGTTTTCAGCGGAGATTAATTCACTGTCAGATCTGGTTTCATCATTGTCGTTATCCTCGCCATCGCAATGTAAATATACAACCTCCTCCCTGAACCCAAAGCCTGAGCACGCTTTCTCTCAAACAAGACATCATAGGATAAAGGCTATATAACACTTTTTAGATCTTGCGAAAGCCTGCATTGAAATGATGAACATCACATCATATAACAGAAGCAATGTGAATGTTAAAGAACCAAAGATTACTACATTCTATTAATAGATCAGATAATGGTAGCAAATTTTGGTTTACACTACACTACACATTTCTTTTCTTTGTGTATTAAGCTTGTATTCATATACTACCGCAGTCACACTATATATGGTGGAATACACATGCATGATGCACCCCTCTTGTTTGGATGAAGTCAAAAGCATGCATTTCAAGGCTTCTAATATTACCCAAATATATTGCACAAGTTGACAGATAGGTTGAGTTGAGCAGCAGAGTATCATTCTCATCTTCTCCTGTGGTGTTAAAATAACAACCTCCGGTTTTGTCAGGGAATACCTCATCCTATAAACCAGATAAAGAAAAGTAGTTAAAATTTGGTTCACGAAATAGAAATATATAATAACAGAGTTCGCGAGATGGAATACTTGTGTTTCTTGAAGTTCAATTGCCCAGGATAACCATGAAATCTCACAACCATACTTATACACATCTAACAACCCTAAAATCAAGATGCATAATCATCCAAGATTCCTGGAGCTTCTGAAGGTCCTTTCCTGAAACTGTGTTGCAGCCTTCTAGATTGGGGATCGTAAATATTTTCCTTTATGAACACCAAAGATCTCTTTGCAACCTCCTGTATTCTTCATATAGCCGCCTATACAGTTCAAGAGTTTCGACAACCTAAAAATAAATACATCACTAAAATATTTTATCGATTTATCCACTAAACTAACCAATTTTAACAATCAACAACAAGTATACTAATATTGATAAGACAGTTGACAATATATTAACCTATTTTATCAATTTGAGTATATAATAATAGTATAATACTATAATATACTAAAGCAGAACGTAAAATTTTCACCAGTTTATGGATATAGACAACTAGATTATTTTCAAAAATAGTTTATTAATGGTTAATCACAATAGGAAATACTATTTTATCAATATCAGTATAAAAATACAATAAAGTGTAACATAGGTATTTTTTATTCCTTAAATTTATAATTGTACCTCAGCGTCTGCCTCATCCTTTGATGCAAAGGCATTGTGTCCTTGTTGCTAAAGAAACTCACGGCTCCTAGAATAACAACAGTTTATTATCATTTCTAGAAATAGAAAATCAAGACAAAAAATCATGTCATGTGATGAATTATGAATAAGAAAGCAAAGAAGCTACCTTATAAATGGAGTCGGATTACTAAAATCCCACCGAACAACATTACACCATTGGTTAAGTTTCTAGGGCAAGTCATGGCGTCCCCTGATCATTTTGTGAAATACGGATACATCACAGTTTTACTTGTTGGTCTAATTGCAATTGGAACTTCCAATTCATAATCCCCCGATCTCGTCAACCATGCAACCTGAAAGGGGAATAAGGAGGGAATTCATGTCTTCAAGAGAATAAACAACATGAGATAATGTATCAATGATGCATGTTTTAGTCCTTCCACCAGATGAATCATGAAGAAGACTAGTTAATTTGCTATCCCTGGATTACCTAAATGATAAAACCTAAAAATCAAAATCTTGAACCCATGAATGTTAAGTGTAAATTCTGTATTTTGATGAACAAACACAAGAACATAATCAAAATCTGAGACCTGTAGACATCAAAATGATTATGCACCAAAAATCCACGTGACAACCAAAGCTTAGAGTTATAACTAAGTATGTATGTCTTATGGAAAAGGAGGTACCTGGTGAGGTTTAACAGACGATAATGGAGTACCTGGTTAAGTTTCTAGGGGAAATCAAAGCCTCTCTGATACCATGATAAAAAGTGTATTTTTGTATTTCATTTCTCATCAATTCATAACAGAAAGGAAATACTTTATAAAGGAGCATAAGAGCTAAAAAAGGACAGAGGCTAATCTACTCCTATAATAAAGGAATTTACATAAAAGAATTTATTCCAAAAATACCCTCATGACAGCTCATGCCAACATGTGTGTGGTGTGGTGGGTTGCTTCATCTTCAACAGAGCAGCCAAATGTCGGACAACCACCATTTGAAACTTTCCCTGCATTTGTCCTATCGTGAGAGCCCTGGTACAGAAAATTACCATATTACCCTTCCACCAAGAAAATTACCATATTACACAGCATCGTGTTCTTCCCCCTTGAAGTACAGCAACGATAATGGTGCCCTAGGAATCCCGATGTCAATTTTATCAATCTGATCAGAGAACTCTGTATTTGTCTCCCTTAGATCTGCCAAAACCCTTTGGTTTAGTGAGGAATGGAGTATACCGTTGGGGTTGATCACTAGAGGAAATGTCGACGTCTGTAGTAGACCAATGGTACAACTCCGATTTAACCTCCTATTGGTGTAGCTTTCCTTGAGATTCTTCGGATCGTTGTATCATCTTCTCAACAGATTGAGGCATATCATTGAGTAGCTCTTTCATGGCTCTCGAGAGGTCCTTCATCTATTTATCTTGAGGAACTGAAGATTGAGAGAAGTAAATGGAGGGTATATGAACTGAAACCCTAGTTCCAACAATAGTCGTGGTTCCAACAACTATACCCCTTTGATTTCAATTTCATGGCCTGGTGGCCAAAAAACCTTGGATTTCACTAAAAACGGGAACCGATTGAAGGTTTTTTTGGTATTTGATTGTGTGTGTGTGTGGAGAGAGAGAGAGAGAGAGAGAGAGAATAACGATTGAAAGAAGGTAGAGGAGAACATGGCGGCTTTTCAAAATTTTGGAATTTCATTTCCCCCGCGAGCTTCTAAAACGCGTGTTTATGAAAAAAAAATATAAAGCGACGTGTGCACACTCCAAAAATATCAAAGGGAGGAAGAGTTACAGCCGCATAATGAGGTCTAGGGTTTACAGAGAAAAGGAGAAGTAGAGAGCGAAGGTTGTTGGCTGGTGGAGAGGATGATTTCGTTATTCCTTCCCGAACAGAAACAACTTGATAGAACGAAACCTGCAAATGAGGTATAGGTTTACATGGAATCCATAAAAGATGGATGAAATGCGGGGTTTTTAATTTTTTAGGATTTCATTCCCCCCCTGCTATTAAAGGATGGAACGCGCGCTTCCGTTAAAATTTATAAAGCGACATCCTTAGATGACACACATGTGCCCTCCGTGTTTTTGATTTTTTTCTTTAAGACACTAGTCTAAGGGCGCGCAATAATGCATAACCTAAATGCTTAAATTTTTTGAAGAGACGACACCATTTTAAAGTCACTCCCTTTTGCGT